CTCTTCTCTGCCTCCCTGAAAAAGGCAAGAGTGCAAATGAACACACGGTCCTTTTTCTCACTTTTAAATAAATTTCTTTGCATTTGAGAACATGTCCCACTTCTAGTCTATATTTTTCTCAGAGAAAATGAAAATATTCCTCTTGATATCAAGTAAATAAAGGTAAAAATCTCAAGTGGTGCTTCTGTTGAGGTTGAGAGCAGTTTATTTTCAGGCACAGTGGAGAAGTAGTCAGACAGCTGAAGCTTAAGGAAATCTCCTGCTCTCTTGAGGCAGACTTTTTGGTTATGCTGAAGAAACCACAGTGATTTTTGTGTTACCTTTCTACCCCTTTATTTATCAATTAATGCAAATATAGTTTAGCACTTTATAATAAAGCTCTGGGTTGATGAGACATATGATGGGCAATAACTGTGACTGTAATTTTTTCAATGTCAGTTCCATGGAAAATAAAAAATTTACGTTTGCTTCTTGTTTGCCTAGAAGCAAATAAAAAAGTCGCCTTAGTAGACTGCTGTAAATGGCTGGTGTTAATAGTTCTTTTAATAGCTGTTTTTCAAAATGAAAAATTAGTTATTTACAGAATTTTAGTCCTATGTTTATTTGTCGAGATGTGTGTTTTGCATTGACTGTTTGTTAATCATTATGACAGGTTAATTTGCAAAGAGAGAAAGCCCTTCTGCAGAAAACAGATACCTTAGTAGTGAAGAATACACTACATGCTTATTTAAGCAATTATGACTTTATAGAATTGCTTATTATATGATGTTGTTTGGGTTCTGAGTCATGATATTTTATTAATAAAAAATAGTGCATTTTCTAACTGGAAATTTTATTTCAAGACTGTAATGCTCCACTTGAAAATCCAAATTAATCTGAATGTTTTCCTTTTAAAAGATGCTTACATTTGTCTAATGAACAAACAGACCCTGTTTGACTGAGCATTTTAAAAAACAGTCCTTGAAGAGATGTTTGGGTGAAATAAGCAAAGAATAGCAGTTTTGTATGTGGGGCAATGTAAAATGAAGTGTAAATGCAATGGCAGAGGGAGGAAACACATGTAAAATCATTGCCCAGCAAGAGGGAGACTTTGTGACTCCAGACTGGGTGAGGAAAGAATTGTCAAGATCTTGAAAATAACCTGTGGCAAAAGTTGGAAGCCCTTTCCTCCCCATTTTGATCAATTCCTAGAGGGTTTTGTTCTGTTAGGACGTGAAGTTTGCATAGAACCTGTCTGTGGTGACAGCAGCACCTCGCTGTTAGGGCAGCACGCAGTTTCACAGTGTTGCTGTTTTGGAAAGCCCCTTTGGCAAGGCCCTGGAGGCTCTCAGAATTGCAAAATCCCTTTTACCCCCAGCTCTGGCTGGGCACTGTAAAGGGCTGTTGACCTTTCCTTGGGCAGAGAGCATTTGAACTCCACAGATCTTTGAGTACTGTTGATTATTCAAAGTGACTGGTATAAATATCAGCAGACTGCACTGGTTTCATTGGTTGTGATGATGGCTTAAAAAAGTCTCTTTGTTTCTTCAGAGATTCTCTTCACTTTCTGCCTGTGCCATTTCTCATTAGAGTTCTCTCTTGGAGTCTTTTGAGTTACAAAATCCACCCCTGCAATGTAGAACTGGCTAAAACAAAAATAAGGTTCGTATAGAGAGTTTACAACATACAGACATCCTAACCATAGAGAAAGTGAAAGCCTTAACACACTTAGGGGAGATCAGTGATTTGACAGGAAAAAAAATCAACCTCAAAGGAACCCCCAAATTCTCAGCAAGCCAAACATGGAGTAAAGTAGTAAGCAACATTTGTACTGAGCTGCAAAATGAAGAGGTTTGCACACATTAGAGGCTTTTATAACTGTGTTAGAAGCAAATGTCATACATTTATTGTTCTTTCATGTGAAAGAGATGCAGTAGCAGGAAAGATCCTGCTTTCTCCTGCAGATGCCAACAGTTGTCTTAAACACCTCTGTCAAGTACTGCAGCATTCTAAAATTTACAAACAACAAATAGGTTGCCTTAGGAACTTACTGGTTTTATTATATTTTGTTGACTGGATCTTCTTATTTGCGCAAATAATTATATAGCACTTTTTAAAATTGATTCAGGTTCCAGAATCCCTCTCATATTTTGTCTTTTTAAAAATTTATAGAGAGGATATACAGAAAAGGCATTCTGCTTAGGCTTTAAGGTAACATGCCAAGTCTAAAGGTGTGAACCATATGTCGCTTAAGTACCCCTCTGTGTTTCTGCAGAACTGATGTGTTTTTCAGGCCCATCTTCAGCCATAAAGCAAAAGACTTAACATTATTCTGCAAATAAATGTTGTCTGTACATCTGCTCTTAAATAGGTGAAGGCCCGAACTGGTAGCTTTGAGATTTCCAGTTAGAAGGTAGAGGAATATACACAGTGAAGGACTGTGTATATTTAAACAATATATAATATAATTTTTAAAATATAATTTAAATAATATATAATATAATGTAAATAATAATATAAATAAATAATAATAATATAAATTTGATAATTTCTGGAAAATCTTAGAGGAGTTTTGGTTTGGGAAGGGGGTTAGTTGGGTGGGTTTTGTTGTTGGTTTTAGTGGATCAGGTTTTTTACTGAAGAGTTAATGCAGAAAGCAATTGTATGCTGACAACTGGTAAACTGAAGTTAGCTTTCTTGGATGAGTGTTGGTGTGAGGTCACCAAAGGATATTGCTGTGTGCTAGACATGCCTGCTCCTTCTGCCTGTGGTGTGTAATGCTTAATAGAACACAGTCAGACAAGGACTGCGAACAATTTGAAATGTTCTGTGCCTCAGAATTGTAATGAAGTCCTCTGGGAAGGGGATTTACAAACTGGACACTTAACAGTGCATGACATTTGACCATCATTCTGAGAGACTTCATGAATCAGAGGGTGTTTTGCGTTCTTTCTCTAGATCACTTATTTGAGTTCAGCCCACAACTACAGTGATCAAATGTCACTATCCTTTCAATGCTCTGCATGAAACAAGTCTAATTTTCTGTTGGCTCTTTGGAAGCAAAGCTTGTTGTCCCAGGGCTACCACCTGAGGCAGGAGCCTTCATCCCATCCCAGGCTGAGGCACCAGTGAAAGGCTGACTTTCAGGAGCTGTGTCCTCAAAACATGAGGGGACAGCATGCAACCTCATTGCCCATGCAAGAGCGGTTCCTTCACTACTGCTAAATGCTAATTTCAACACTAATGCTTTTATTCTTAGGAAAGTATAAAAGCAGGCAAACTGCCAGTATTTGCTCTAGTTCCATCACCTGGAAAATCTCAGCTATCCTTTTTGCCATACACATTAGGGCAGATGTGATGTAATATGTGTCTCGTTCTACGAACAGGCTTATATCTGCAAAATTTGGTTTTTTCTTTGGTCTGGAAAAGAACAGTTTATATCCTTAGCAGGCAGGGAAAATGGCCTGGCATATTTAAGAAAAAAAGGTATTAGCAATATTCAAATAATTCACATGTTTAATTAGTATAAAATGTACATATCTGCACACCAAAAAAGCAAGGCTTATGAAAATTTTCTTATCTTGACAAATAAGAACACTTAAATTTTATTAAGGTTAGGTACATTGCAGCAACACTAGCTTTGTGTGTTCCATCTTCTTTCTTCATTGTTTGTAGTTTCACATCTGATACCTACCAGTCACTGCCAATCACTTCACTGCAGGGGAAAAAAGCTCTGACCCTGAGAGTTATCCAGGTTTTTTATTGGAAGTACTGTTCACTTGCTCTGAAAATGCTGACTCAATTGACAGCTCAGAAAAGCCCTCTAGCACCTTTATGTGAAAACATCTGCAAGCTGATAGAAATTAGCCTGCATTGCATTTATTTATTCACTTGCCAATACTGTACAGCACTCTTTATGTTGTTCTACAGAGCAGGGTGTGCTCAGTTGTTCTGTAGGATGGAGTTAACAGTCTTCCCAAGCTGAAAGTCAGCCAGGTGGGCACAATTCCAGAAATGTATGGTGGATAATTCAGGGGCTGCATAGAATGTCAGTACTTTCTAATCAGCAGTGCTTAGGTTAATAAGGATTTGAGGGACAGATGTACACAGAGATAAAAGAAATTGTGGTCCAAGGAGTGGGGGCTGGGAGGGCAGAAGGCACAAGGCCTCTGTAAGCATGTAATTGGGACACCTCTCTGCAAAGCAAAGATTTGTGCTCCATATGTGTTTTGCAATACAGAATCACAATGTGAAAATGCATAATATTGTTAGGATTATTATAATCCCAAAGTAAAGCTCTCTTACTGGGTCATTCCATGACTTTTCTGGCACAGTAACATAGCTGAATGGGAGGGATGGAGATTTCCATGGCCTCATTCACCCATATCCTAGTGGCTTTGGACATGCCCTGGATTGTGTAGTGTTGAATTGGATCCCATCTCACAGAGGAAGATAGAGGATCTGTAACAAGTGTGCTCATGAGGAGGTTCTGTGCCTGCTGGTCCTTTGTGCATCACTGGGGCAATATCAGTCCCTGCTCCTGTTGCACAGGTTAAACCAAGTACAGTGGTTGTTGCCCATTGAGCTGAACTCAGTCTTGCTACAGCCATTTCTGAGTGCTGCTGTGCTGTGTAGGTCTCAGGTGTTATAGGGCATGAGCTGGGTGCTGAGATGCACAGGGAGGGTGTGAAAACTTCAGGGCACACACCTTAGGACTTCAGATAACAGGAGCTTGCTCAAAAGCCCAGGTACTTCCTGCTTCTTGGCAAATCGGTGGAGTTTTTGTTATTTAGTCTTTGTTTCTTGTCCAAAGCCACTTGACTTTGTTGGTGTGGAGTAGCTTGCTCCAGTCCTGCATCAGGTAATTTCTTTTCTTAAATTTAAAAAATAAATAAAAATTACATAGTCTAACACTTTGAGCCCAAGTGCTGCCTACCCTTATTTCACTGCCGTGACCTTGTTTGAGCTTCAGGAAAGCCCTCCTGGCCATTCTCAGCCATTTCCCCTTTGTTTTCTTGCAGGCTCTGATCCTTCACCAGCTTGGGCGCTACAGCTTGGCAGAGAAGATTCTCAGAGATGCTGTGCAGGTGAACTCCACAGCCCACGAGGTGTGGAACAGCCTGGGAGAGGTGCTGCAGGCCCAGGGCAATGACGATGCCGCCACCGAATGCTTCCTGACGGCGCTGGAGCTCGAGGCCAGCAGCCCCGTGGTCCCTTTCACCATCATCCCCAGGGTCCTGTGAGAGGGCCTCTCCATCAACAGATTTTTGGTCTTGACTTCTGGGTGAGCAAACCCACTGTGTGAGACTGCCTGGTAAATGGTTAGTTGGAGAAACTTGAGAGCTACAGGTAACAAACTCCACTCTTTTGTGGGAAAGTGGCCAAAGCAGGGAGGTGCCACCATATGTTGATGTCAGGCTGAGAGGACAGAGTGGTGAGCCAGAGCCAAATCACTCTTATTGCCTGCAGTTTTGCCCTGGTAGTTTTAAAACATCGTTATATTGTTCATGGATGATGTGCCATATTTTGTTAGTGAAACTTGAGTGTTACATAAAATTGTAATGGAATCAACTACCAATTGTAGAATAAGTTAAGATTCAGTGGCAGAGCAGACTATTTTTAACAAGGCTGTTAATAAAACTGTTCTCTTCCTGCCTCTCAACCTCTTTTGGCCCAAAGTCAAAATGTGAATTTTCTGTTTCCATCTCTATTTTAGTCCAGGCCAGAAAATCAGTTGAGTTCTTGTTTTTAGTTGTTAATAACTGTGATGTGTGGCTAACTGTTATCTAGAGCAAAGGCTGAGTACAAGAATATTTATATTTTACCAATGTATGCCTGTTACAAAAAAAATATATTAGTTATTTAAGTTTAACTTTTTTATGTGAATTCAGAGTTTATTTATCAATGGAAATATGTAAAAAGAAGCCTCAAATGGAATATTTACCGACATTCCTTATACATGAACCCAGACTTGGCTTAATGGGAAGATTATGTTAATAATAAAATGATTTTTAAATGGAACCTTTCCTGTGTCTTGGTTAAGAATCTGGGAGAAATAGATGACTTGTGAATGCATTTTTATGAGGTGGCTGGCTGGCCTTGAAGATGAACAACACCAAAATGAAATATTCTGAGGCCAGTCTAGAGAAAAGAAGCTGCTATACTCTTTGCCAACGGTACTGTTATCTTAGATTTCAGCTTTCCTTAAATCTTCACAACTCCTTTTTTATTCCTTCCACTCCAGCTCTTGATGAAGCCAGATTACACTGCCTCTACATAATACATGGACATGTACATACACCTTGGTAGTGCTTGGGAAAAGTGTGTTAAATATTTATACAATATTCTTTGGGGTTTTTTACTGTCCTCATAGTTCTTTCTCAACAGCTCCTGCCCTTCGTGTCCCTTGAAAGAAAAGTTGGCTGGTTTAGTAGACAGATACTTGCCAGAGATTCTCGGGGAGGTGTGAGAAGAGTCATTGCTGCAGTGACTGTTCAGGGTGCACGAGCTGGGGTAGCAGTGTCCTCTCATTTACAGTGTTGGGCACATTTGGAGCCTGGGAAGAATTCCAGGTTCCCCAATAGACTGGGTGCTCCTTGATACTTGGCTGATTTGTTATAAGAAGTGGTTTTAAAGTGCTTAGCACAGGATAAGAGATGATTCAGGAAAACAACAGCAAATGTTGTTCTTTGTCCCTCACCAGAGCTTATTCACTTCAAACACATGGAGCATCCTTGCTGTGGCAGTGTGGGTTCCCAGTGAGCATCTTCAAATGGCAGAAGACTTAAACCTGGGGAGCTCTCCAGTTTCCCCCTGGCATTTCAAATGCCTCTTAGGCTGAGGCTACTTTGAAATTGTATCTGCTTGGTATTTGGACCATATGTTCTCTGTAAAATGGACCGAAATCCTGTAATAGGTGGTGTTTTCAAATCTATTTTAAAGGCAGTAGAAATTGTGTCATCTTGCTCAGTGCGAAAAACATCAGTTTTGTTTTCCCATTTAAAGTCCCTGTTTGGCATTTTTTCTTCCTACTGTCCTTGGCTTTCTTTTTCTCTTTTCTATTTGCCAACTGTTCTCTTTTCTAGTCCCAGTTTGTAATTTGTGTTCTGGCCCTGCTGTCTTTTGGCACCCATTACATGATACCAAAAAATAGTGCAAAACCTTTATTTGTTTAATTCAGTTTTTCCTGAGTGCTTTTCCTGTCCCAATTCCATTAGTTAATTTTTGATACCTTTCACAGGAGTGCTCCTTCTCAGTATTGACTCACCTTTTACTATAATTTCAAAGCCTTTCTATCAAGGCAATTTGCACCTACATCTGAGGCAGGTGGTCTCTTTCAGCAGAGCTTCAGACAAAAGTAGAGAATAGGAGAATTCTGTAACAGAATTCAGTTTAGATTCTTCTCATTCCATTTCAAGTCCTGACCTCTTTTGATAAACTCCTAATGTGGAAAGGTTAGCAATCTAATTGTGTCATGTCTTTTATTAGTGGAGAAGTTGTCACTGGTGTTGTGCATATCAGGTGAACCTGAATATCTGTTTCCTTTTTCTTGCACTGGAATCAGTTTCACTGTAAATCCACAAGCTTCTACCTCTTGGGAATAGCCTCAGCTACCTATTTTTAAAAATGGATTATCTCTGTAAGGCTGTACATTTAGGAATTTTCAGGCAGAAGTGGAAATCCTTGCAGCATATGAATTAAACAGCATTGCTTGTTTAAACATAGTTTTCAAGTTAAAACAACAAGTTCCTAGGTTTTACAGCTGCATTCTTTTTTTAAAATTGAGTAAGAAGGCCAAGATATTTTTATATCTGTTTTAGCTACTCTACAGAGAGATCTCTCTTTTGCAATCTGCTCTCAGACCACCAGAGCTTTTCAGCCACTGGAGTGAAGGAAGCAATGCCCATGTGCACAGCCACTCCTGGGGAAGGGTTCCCTTGGTGCCTGTGGGTTGCTGTCATCTCATGGGGGCTGCTCCTGGACTTTGTGGCTGGCAAAATCTCCACGTGGACACACAGTCTGTGTGTCCTCTTGCTCCCCCAGCCTGTGGCAGGAATAAGAACTGTTCAGATGATCAGTGAGGTAAGTCAGGGGATGAAAACCCCTTGTTCCCTTGTCTCAGAGTTTTACTAACCTTTGGCTGGGAGCCAAGTAAAATAAAATGGTTATGAAAGTGCGTTGTGGAGCACTTGTATAAATGTAGGGACAAGTTGCAGAAGGCTGAGATCTCCAGCCCTTCAGGAATTACATACACTTCTCTGAAATTCCTGTCTTCTTAAAGACAGGAATAGTGGGTTGCAGAGGAGACTCCCATTATTCTACAGTGTGCTTGTGCTATTCAAAATGATTAACATTTGGTTTACTAAGCATATGCTAAAATGTAGCAGCAATCTCTGTTGCACTTGATAAAAGGTCTGACTCTGCAGTGCCTGCAATAAGAGAATTTATCATTCAAGTAATTGGTAAAAGTTCATCTCTAATTTTGGTGCAGATAACCATTTTTACTCCACAATTTATTTCATTTCTACTTTTGCTTTCATGATTGATAGAGAATCACAGGAACAAGAGAAACAATCCAAGCAGAACTAATCCAACTCTATCTTGGAAAAATGTTGTCATTAATTATATGCATTTTAAACATCAAAGCTATTTTTAAAATTGCTTTAATTTCTTTGAAAATCTGTTTTTTCCTGAGTAGACTGTTCTACTGTGAAATGATAGCAGAAACTTGGATATGTTGGAGTTCCAGATTTACCTTGCTAATTCTTTGTTTGTTCAGTTATGAGTTATAATGACGTTTTTCTCACAATCATACTTTCTCTCATTTAGCATTAAGTTACAAAGCTTATATGCTAAAATATGCTTTGAGCAAGTGCACTTCTCCAGCGTTTCATCTATTTAATCTCATCACTTCCAAACTACCTTTTCTGATCTCACTGATGGTCTGTTACACTCCACATGCTTCCACATTATCACAAAGACCAGCTGGTAAGGATTCTACTCATGGACAACAGGAAAGACAAAGAATGTTCAGCTTTTGTCCTGTGTGGCCATCATTGCTGATTGTGTGAAATTTGATGGAAGTCTCTCAGACTTGCAAAGCCAGCAGGTGGGCTCAAAGAAGTGGGACAGTGAAGTTAAACCTAAGGAAAATCAGAATGGTTTTTTGAAAAGAGGAATGTATGTGGGGGTGAGTGCTGGTCAGATTTTGCTCTTCCCCATTTCAGGGACACACGGTGCTGATATGCTGGTTTGTCACCACCTTGGTCACCTGGCCTTTCCAGTGCTCAATTTAAAGCACCTTTTTGGCCCAGGTATATTGTCCCTCCAGTTACTATTTCAAAGAGAAAAAACTGCACCTATTCATTTCTAAGTCCTTTGAAAAGATGTGACTGCTCTGGCTGGCTCCTGCTCCATCCCAGCCATGGGACAGACGAGCACCAGGTGCCCCTGCCCTGGCATCGCTTCGCACATTCCCGGGGTGCAGCACTGCCAGATGTGCTCCTTTGGATGTGTCCCCAAAGCCCTGCAGGAGCACACAGCAAAGCTCCCAAAGGCAGGAGGGAGAGCACTTTGGCCTTTCTAAATATGCCTTCACTTAGAAAACTTCCTTGGAGGGACTGAGTGTAAAAACCTATTTTAGACATTAAGGGGTTGATGAAATGTGTCATTGCTGTGCTGAATTCTTTTGCTTTGTGTCCTTACATGAGGCAGGGATCTCTGTAGGAGAGATGACCCTTGTCTACTTCATCCAGGTATAAATCTCCATAGCTTTTTCCCCTGTCCTCACTGGGAATAGCTCTTGGCCCCCTCTCTGCTTCTCGAATTGCCTTCCCAAGGATGTGACACTCCTCAGTATGAAATTACTCAAGGTGCCCTGACTTGAAAAAAATAATCAATAGACAAATAAGGAAATTTCTTGGTTATTACCACAGTGACATGGCTTTAAAAGCATGTTTTCCTGTTTGTTTCTATGGCTGAACACTCTCCTATGTGAGGAGAGTAAAGCTGGAAGTCCCTCTGGTGGGTACAGCTGAGGAATAAACATCTGATCGGCCTGTGAGCCCCTGGGTTGACTCCCAAAGAGAAAAATGGACTTGATTACCAATTTTTAAGTGGATGTTTTTTCTACACACGTGAATGGATATACTCACAGGTACAGAGAGCCGTGCCTCAGGTTCATCTTACACCTATGGCAGAGTTTTGGGAGGAAGTTCCGCTGCAAGTTCACTTTAGCTCCTGTAAAGCTGTCTCTGCTACAAACAGGCTTTGGGTTGTGCCAGAAAAGGAAATTCTGACCCCAATTTCACTTCCAGTTCGTGTCAGATATATATCAAATGACGAGCCTGAGACATTGTTATTAGTGCAGACTTTCCTAAGATTGTTGTTTTCCAAACAGCACCAACTACTAATGTAGGACTGGAGGGGGCAACAGAGGCCATAAAACATGCCAAGTTGCTTTCCTTTTGACTGTCTTGCAAAAATAGCTCTTTATTGGAAGTAAAACAGCAGTCTTCTGACTGAAAATTTGTTTTTTGAGGGTCCCTTCAAAAATGTATTTTTTGCCTTTCTTCTTATTAATACTGCAATCTTTTAGGACAATTAACTCCTGTGAGCTGGAATGAGAACCCTGCAATCTTCAGGGCAGGTCCTGTGCCCAAAGGGCCCAGCAAGTGCCTTCATTGACACAGGACCTACAAGCTCTTAGGCTAAAGTCACTTCTCCCCAGATGTGTCCTTCAGGAGTAAGCCCCACTTGGTGATCCCATTGCCCCTGCTCTGCAGGAGTTGCCCATGCTGGTGGCCAGCCTGCAGGAAGCCCCATTTCCAGGACAGGTGCTCCTGGCCCCACCCTGCCTGCCCTCACAGGGGTGCATGGGCTGCAGCACCACGTGGAGCAGTAAATCACATTACACTGGTTTGGAGGCAATTGTTTCATGGTGCGTGCAGCCACACACAGCCAAGGAGTAAAAGAAGTGGGCACAAGCTCCTCTGGCTTATGGAAAGCCCCCAGGAGGGCCC